ACTTTCTCACGTTCTCAGTCAAGAAGTCTATCTGCTTCCCCTGCCCTGTCCCTTCTCACCATACATGCTACAGGGCAATGACCTCTGTGCTGCACACTGTTTGTACGGTTACCCTGCACACTGGATGACAACTGAGCCACTGACTTTCACAATCAGTTCACCTGCTGAGTAATGGGTTGGCTGAGGGCCTGTCTTGGCTTCCTGCCTGGGCCTCTTGACTCCTGGAGCCATGGGCAACATTTCCTCTCTCCTCTCTAAAAAGAAGCTGTGGCTCTGATCAGGAACACCGATGGAGTGTCTATCCTTCCAGTCATCTGTATGGTAATGAAAGCTCACCCCACAGTGTGATCACCGAAACTGAGGCACTTAGCCCAGAACCTGGCACGTGTAAGCTATAAATGTTAGCTCTTGTTAATAAAGCTCTGTTTGTGTTCATGTATAGCAGTCTGCTGAACCCACACTGGAGGGTGCAGGAAAGGTAGGTGTGTGGGTTCATCCTGAAACTTCAGGTCCACCCTGGCATGCAGCCTCAGGTGCTGAGCAGCAGGGTGCATTCACCCAGTTTATAAAGTGGGGATAGCTTTTTGTCCTCCTTTCCCTCCGGCTGGGAGGACAGAGAGTAGATAGCCAGAACTTTCTCTTCCCAACTTTCTTCCCTTAAGTTCCAGATCTAGCCACATCCTGAGGAAGAACAAGTAGCAGATGGGGAACTGTCACTTTAAAGTAGCACCTAGCTCCCAGCAGCTGTGAAGCAGCCTGCTGCTGGCAGCCTGGCCAGTCCCCAGAGAACCAAGAGGACAAACAGCTTTCACTTTCTTCTGGTGTCTTTACACAGTGGCAGGAGAGCAAGTTCTTAAGGCTGAAAAGTGCCCTTCTACCTCTGAGGCATGAAGGGAACTCTCTAGATGTGGGGAGTGAGGCTTTCTCCTTCCTTGCCTCTGTATTGCACCTGCTTTTCCACAGTCAGGGCCTCCTGGAGGAATTTTCACGACACATGAGTCTCCTGCAGTATCTAGGGCTGCGGGGTTTGTGTATAGGGCTGCAGAGCCAGCTTTCCTGGTGAGGTCACTGTTTCTTCAGTTATTGTCTTACTTTCCTTGCCCTGGATAAACAGCAGTAATGCATTGGAGGATGCTTGCTTGTGAAGCACCAAATCTCTGTCTAGTTATACCCAGGCCTGCTAGCTTGCCACTAGACCCAGTTCCTCAATAGTACTTTAGTCCTGAGAGTTCTAGACTCTGCCATCTGTCTAGTAAGGCTGGATGAGGAGTTGGTCTCTTTTCTTCAGGCTGGAGTATACAGGCAGGGCCTGTGTCCTCCTGGGCCACGAGGCGCTGTGGGCTTCAGCTGAGGGTTAATTTTGCTGGTAGGGAATGTAGGCAAGAAGCCAAGAGCAGTAGTTGGCAGCAAGCAGGCAGCTCCTGGAGAATCGTTTAAATTCAAAAGAGTAGTGACCTTCTCCATGCTTTGCTTGTGAGCCAAGGGTCACTGGCCTGTACTGACCTGGCAGGGTGTGTGGCCACCCAGGGCTGCAGGATCAGCCTGCATGTATGCCACACTGGGGAACAAGTAGCCTTGGATTCAGGTAGCCTAGAGTCCTGGGCCTCCAGCCTTTAGAAGCCTGGCCCCTGGGGTCAGGAAATGATTCTATTTTCAGTCCCTGCCAAGTGCTTCAGCCCTCACTCCTGCCTTGAGCTGCCTGAGTCACTCCTCCCAACACCCAACTCAGCTTCTTCTGAATGGAGTGGGGTATCATAACACCATATGTTAGGAGAGATGTTAGGAGAGCAATTCACAATTTCCAAAGCCCATGTAGGCACCAGCTCTCTTCTGAGGTTTCATCAGCCTGTGAGATTGACTGGGCAGGTAATTTAATTTTTTTGCACAGATGAGGCAAAATAAAGGCCCAATGAAACTCAAACAGTATGATCAAGCAAACTTTCTCAGCTCCTATACTGTCGGGGCTGTCCACTGGCTATTGGGCTCGCTGCTGATCTTTTCCTGTCTTCTTCAGAGAGGACATTTACTTTTAAGGAGTGTTGAACTTTGAGAATCTAAGAGGCTGGTGGGGTAAGAGAGGTAAGTCAGACTCGAGGCAAAGTAGAGGAAACAGTCTACAGTGCTCTGGTTCTCCGGCTCTGAGACCTTCCCTTTCTCAGTATTTCACCTCCTCTTTTAATATTACCTGTCTGTCCCTAAGAAGTCTCATTCCTGGTCCTCTAACCACTTACTCTCAGGTCTAAATGACTCATGACCGTGTAAAGAGTGACCCCTCCATGCCTTGCTCCACCTTACGTGATTTATATTTCATCTTACAAGACAGGCACATTCAAATGCATTGTCTCCAGGAGAGTCCAAATATTAAGAACTGACAGAGCATGGGCAAATGACTGGTGAGGGTGAACACTGGCCATAATGCTAAATGGGTTCTGGGATTCTTATCCCTCCACTGTGCAGGGCACTGTACATGGCTGCTGTTTATAGAGAGCCAGGCAACTAGGGACAGCAGGGGTTGGAGGTGGTACGCTGAGGAGCCCTGAACATTGGCCCGTTGTCAGTCAGTGTGCAAGTACTCCAGTGTTTGCACCTGAGCAGTCACACCAGTCTGTATCAACTATATGCACATCATCATAAGTAATTTTGTTTAATCATTTCTAGGACATAGAGGAAGATATGACATTTTCTTTTCAACCGCTGAGGAAACTGAACTCATGGAAAATCTCCGTAAGGTTCCACAGTGTGTGTCTCAAATTTTCATTGCCAGGGTTTCTTCTGGTTGGAAGTTCGGAGCATGGGTTACTCAAGATAGAAGGCTTTGAGATGGAGAAGATGAGAGTCCTGGGTGGCCAGAGGGCACTGGGGTCTCAGGGCCTACTAGAGGTCAAGGTATAGGGTATGAGGAGACCAAGGAAAAGAAAGGAATGAAAAGATGGGGTGCGTGTGTGTGTGTGTGTGTGTGTGTGTGTGTGTGTGTGTCTGGGAAGATGGCAGATAGTGGGAACAACATTGAGAAACTGAGAACAAGCCTGCCCTTACTGACCTAGATTTGGCTAGAACTAGTCCTGAGTGACACCAAGAAATCGTTTTCATGTCTGTGTTGCCTCTTGTCTTTTATCTGAAGGTTGGCCCTTGGAACACTGCTTATAGTGTCTGTGATGTTACAGAGAGCTGTGTCTTATTTATTGAGGGCTGTTGCTGAACTCCTGAGGTTCCCCCACACTCTGTCAATCCTTCAGTCTCCTGGCTGGGTACAATGCCCAGCTCGGTGGAGTGTAACAAGATGACACGGAAGAGGGCCTCTCCCTGAAGAAAGCCCAGAGCGCAGGTGCTAAAATAGAAAGCCCAATTTACTTCTCTCTGACTCCCAAATGTAGCTCAGCATTTGATCAGAACTTCAGAACTGCCTGTCTGCAGTCAAGAACAATTCAGACTACCTGTCCTGAAAACTGCAGGCTCCTTTAGGTTAACAAGCAAACCCTTGGCCACTTAGAGAAGAGGAGATTTGCCTTATGGCAAATGTGCTCCTGGGGGATAGCCCAGAGCAAGTTACAGAGACCCTTCTGTATAATCCCAGCTACTTGTGAGTTTAAGGCAGTAGGACTCCAAGTGTGAGGCCAGTCTGAGCACTTTGGTGAGAAATTATTTCAAATTAAATTTTTTTTTAAAGGTGTGTGTGTCCCAGGGGTTGGGGTGCATGGGAGCTGGGTCTGTGGCCCAGGGGCAGATTATTTACCTAGTTTTTGAAAACCCTGGACTCAATCCCTAGTACTTAAAAAAGGGTGGGGGGGCAGGTGTGGGTGTAAGGCATGTTATGTAGTATCCTAGGAAGGAGATTTGGCCCTTGGGTTTGCAGGATTGGCTTGGGCCTGAGAAGTCTGGGGGGTGTGGGAAGGGCCTTGAATAGGGGGCGGTGAGAGCCCCTTAACTTGGATCCTCCACACACATCAGAAGGGGCGGGAATGCGACTGGCACAGGCTTAGCCACCTGTCTGTGATGGTGCAAAGTGTTAGTTCCTTCTGCTGACCTCTCTACCTCCCTGCTCCCAAATCTTGTTGCAGGTTACACTTGACAAAAACAAACAAAACCAAACCAAAATAGCTGGGTGTGTGGGCTGGTCTGCAGAGCAAGGCCTTTCCCACGACCCTGTGTTTTGAGGGACAGCCATGCACTTGTCAGGAACCTCTTGACATCTGGAGGAGGCTGCATTCTGATAAACAGTTGAGATGGGATGCAAATTCTAATCCTCTGAAGATTCATCTTTGCCTGTGTTTTTCCTTGCTTGTCCCTCAGTCTCTGCCAATTTCACGGCAGAGACGACATATCACGTGATTCTTTTTTAAAATTGGGCTTTGGCTGGTGCTGCTTTTTCCTACCCACCGCCCATCTGCTGGGCTCCAGGCAACCTCAGTGCTGGGTGGAGTTGGGGGATCGCTGCAGAGTGCTCAAGTAAGAACTGAAATATGTGACTGGCCTCTGTCCTAAGAGAGGCAGCTTTACTACCCTAAATGTCCTGGAATCGCTGCTGCCTCTGGTGCAACACCAGTCTTGGTCATTGTTGGACGGCTGTCAACAGCCAGCCTTGGCATCCTTCTGTGAGTGGCTGTGCTGTGAGTCATGGGGGCATTCTCCAGCAAAGTGATGAAGTGGGTCCAGAGGAGGAAGTCTGCATCTTCTCTTGCCAGGGCATGGGCTGGCAGGCTGGGAATGGTCATTGGGACTGTGGGGGGTTTGGGTGGGACTGAGGTCACAGCAGGAGAGAAGAGGGCAAGTTCTGAGAGCACAGGTCATCCTGTCAGGCCCCTCAGCTGAGGCCCTTGGTACTAACTGATGGGCAGGGCCTGTAATATCAGAACTAGACATTGCCTCAGGATGGAAAGAATATGCTGGTTTCATACTTCCCTCTTATTTCAATGAGCAGTGAGGCCCAGATACATAATTCTTTCCTTTTGTGCAAAACTCTCATTCAGTGAGGGAGACTTAGACACATTCTTTAAGTGGTTTATTAATGTCACAAATAAGCATACTTTATTTTTATTTGATTTGGCCAAATGAAATGTTTTATGCAAGGCAAACACTCTACCATGAAATGTTTAAAGATAAATAAATGAATTCCAACTTATATAAATCTCCAGGTGCTACATACCAACTTAAGACATGAATTGCAAATTTTAAAAGTTCAATAGTTGGAGATTCTATGAAGGTTAGCATCAATTACCTGTTTGCTTTGTAACTTTGTTCTGGAGTCCAGCCTCAATATTGTGTACAACATTGGATGGTTCAGTGGGACTAGACCCTTGTTGACAAAGTGCTTGATGTCCAAGTTTCCAGACTATGTTTGGATTTGAGAGCCAGGTGCTCAGAGTGTAAGCCAGCAGTTGAAGCACAGGAATCAGCAAGGTAAAAGCCTGGAACCCATGTCTTGGCCTTCCTTTGCCTTCTTACAGTTCACCTAGAGATTCATGTGAACATTGGCCACAGAGCAGCAGACCACAGTAGCAGTTGAACCTGAGACCTAGACTGCTCAAACCATCTTTGTGCCAAGACATACATGATTTCCAATACAGTCTTAGGCTAAATTTTACCACAGAGCTTTCATTAAGAAGACAGGATTAATTAAAACCTCTTAATTAGGAAATGAGACATCTGGGACAGAGTTTAAGCCACAAATGAGGAATATACAAGGCCCATGTTATCAACCACTCCACAGGCAGACATTACTCATCAATTTCTGCACTCTTTTTTATTTATTTTTTGTCTTTTTGAGACAGAGTCTCCCTGTAGCCCCCGCTGGCCTGGAACTCACTATGTAGACCAGGCTGGCTTTGAAGTCACAGAGATCCACCTGCCTCTGCCTCCTGAGTGCTGGGATTAAAGGTGTGCACTACCATGCCCAGCTGGATTTCTGCACTCTTATGCCTCATCGCCATACAGTGCTCCAGACAGCCTCTCCTAATCCATGAGCTTTAGTGATTGAGATGGAAACTTCCTTACTAACTTTAGACCTTCCCTATTTTGAGTGTGTGTGAAGGAGTAGATAAAACATAGGCACTGAAGTCTGACACCTAGATGTTAGATGCCTGCAAACTAATCATTAAACCTCTTTGAATTGGTATCAACATATGCGCCAGAAAAGTCTATATAACTCGGTTGCTAGAATAGAATAATTTATATGAAGTGCTCAGCATTGTACCTCGCACACAGTAGGTATTTTATAAATGGTAGCTATCATTATCATTATTTATTTTATGATCATTTTAAGGCTACTGATGTTGACACTGACGTTGACACTGATAATGATGTTTCCATTGAAAGAAGGAAATAACATGGTATATATTAGGTTGAAGCATAGAATATTAGATAGATATTCAGCTGTTTTTGACTTACAAAAAGTACAGTTTCTTTCAGATTAATCTAATGCATAATTTTTTGTGTTTTGTTTTGGGGATAGGGTCTTAATAAGCTGTCCAGGCTGGTCTCAAACAAGTGATCCTCCTGCCTCAACCTCTTAGTTGCTTAGTTTCAACAGACCTCTGCTCCCACATTCAGTTTACCAATTTAATGCATAATGCTGTGTTTCATTCAAATCACTTGTTTGTTTCAACTTTATCAGATTCTGCCCTTCAAAGTTTTCCCCGCCATTTAACAACTTTCTTAAATCAGTTATTAGAGTAAGCACAGAGAGTGTCTGCTAGAGAGAAGCTGAGAGCTGGTGATGAGTCCCACTACCAGCTGCCTACTCACAAAAGATCCAGAGGCCCCAATTTTCCCTTCTATAAGCTGGGAAGAATCATGCTTTTTTCAATGGGAATTTTGTGATGACAAGAAGAAATAATAAATGGGAAAACACTTTCAGAAGCTGAAGTCATGGTACCAAAGCAAGTTAATTGTGCCACTTTATAAAACATAAGACACTAAAATTAGTTTAATTTTAAATGCTTTTCTATAGAAAAGCTGTATATTAAAAAAAAAAAGAACTCATGCAGTCATGCCAAATGGTTATCAAAGCAGACTGTGAGGATACTGTTAAGTAGATAGTAGAACTAAGTAAGTATATAATGACTTCTCACCTCATGAAGGCGAAATAAACATGAAATAACAAAAGTAAGAATCATTAGGTTTACAAGTGCCTCAACCATCTTACATTTTGGAAAAATTCACAAGACAGAGGAGCTGCCTTCTTTCCTTGGAGGGCTTTCACATGTCCTAGGAAAGTCTGCTTTTGATCTAGTTTTGCCTAAAGGTTAGGACTTGACCTTTATAAGTTCCCACTGTGAACTGAAGACCAATTGCTTTAGTAGTTCTGGGAAGTAGCAGATTTCCTGCCTTCTAGGATGTTCCTTTCCTTGCCCTATGCCAGAGAGTTGGCTAGTGAGGGAGGATGACGTATTTGGATCAGCTATCAGCAGAGGGGGGAGTGACTCAGTTCCAGTTCTCAAATTTTCTGTCCTCCTGTGAGCCTTGGTCAATTTGAGATACCCAAAGGGTCACCTTTAGTCGGCCTCAAAGGCACTATTGGTGGCTCCCACGTATTCAGACTTCTTCTTGTGCCTGGTCCACATTTTCCGGAGAATGCCAGGGACACCACAGGAGGCACTACCTGTTAAGGGCAGGGAGGCCTCCGCTCCCTGGGGAAGGGTTGGATAGTCTTCAGCTATCTTCTTGAGGTGTCTGGATCTAAATAAAAAACAAGGGGTGGGGTGGGGTGGAGATAGGGTGGAGATGCTGATGACTGATCTGAGCCAGACTTAATTTGTGCCTTTGAGAAGAGTGACCAGAGCTCTTCTCTTCTTCTCCATCCTGTGACCATCCTGCAGAGCTGGAATGTCACTATGGGGATCTCTACAGGAATGTCCCCAGGTGGGTCTCCAATGGAGCAAGGAGAGATGGCTGTGAACACAGTGGCTCATGGAATCTTAGATTCTCTTGTTCCTGTCCTCCTGCTCTGAGTCAGCCAGTGAGAATGATCAAGAGCTAGGGTGGTAGCTCAGTGGTAGAGTGCTTGTTAGCATGTGTGAGGCATGGATTTGATCTCCAGATTGCAGGTGATTGAGCTTAGAGACTGTGCAGCTCTGTGGACTGGAAAGCTCAGCCTTTGTCAAGGCATGGTGAGGTCTTCCTGGTCTATGTGAGCACTCAGCCACAGCTACAGCCCCTCAGGACTACTTGCTAACTAGAATGTAGTCCAAGCCAAATAAGTTTTAAAACAAACTTTTCCCCAATTAAATTTCAATATATTGAATGACATATAACTTTTATAATTCTTTCCAGGTGACTTCTACCATTCAGAGGTGCTCCACCCTGCTGGTCCCCACTTTAACTCCCTTGGGTTGATATTTGTTATTATTTGATTATATTTTGTTGTCTCTGAAACTTATCTTGAAACTTAATCTCCATTTTGAGATATTAAGAGGTAAGACAGGGACTATGCCGTATTCTCAGCACTTGAGAGATGGAGGCAGGAGACCTAGGCCAGCCTCAACTATGAAGCAGGTTCTGGCTGTCTTATTGTCCTGGCTCCTGGTTCTGGATCAGATAGTTAACATGAACAGTTGTAGTTTGGTTTAAAACCTGGGTTTTCATTTTTTGCAGTGCTGGAGAAGAAACCTGACATAGGCGGGTGCTCTGCCACTGAGCTGCATTCCCAGCCTGAAAACTCTGTATTTTGTACTTTTCTTTATGTGTGGGCAGGGGTCCCTAAATGAATTCTTGAGGAATTTCTAACACCGCCATGTGAACACAGATTCTGGATGTGGCTCCCAATTATATTCATCTAATTAAACAAACCTCCTTTGGAATGACACTTCCCCAAGCCTCAAGAGCAGTGTTAATGAGGTGGAAACCATGAAAAACACTCTGGCTTAATCCTAAGCAAACAGCTGATGTGGCAATGGTTGGACACGGGATTACAGGCCTCATTACAAGGTAATTTATAGCTGGCATGGGTTTTGTTGAGCATCTTGAGGGACTGAAAAGCTGGCCACCTGTTACCCTTCTGTGTATGACTAGGATAGGTGGGGAGCCTTTGAGGCAGCAGGACCTGAGGGCACAGTACTTACCCTCTCCCCAGAACAACTCTGTTTTCTGAGCCTGTGGCTGCTGCCTCCACCACAGCTGGAGCTTTCACTGAGATTCGGGCCACTGGGGGAATCTGTGTTGTGAGGAAGCAGGAGGGAATTGAGGATGGGACCACATTCCCACTCTGGCACCCATTAGAGCCATTTGAGAGAGGGGCATTTGAAGGTGCCATCACCAAACTGGGCAACAACCCTCACCCTTTAGTGGGCATCAGACATCCTAGAAGCCAGTATCTGATGTAGTGGGTCTGACATTCTCTAACTACCCATATTGAACAAGATCCTTGATGCTATTAGTCTTGGGACTCCATTTTGAGGGCCACTGGCCTAGAGACAAGTTAAAGAGCACCATTCAATTTTTAGTGAGAGCTGTTACCACTCCCCCCGCTCCCAGCCCATTGCCTGGTGTCTGAGTGTCAAATGCTATAGATTTTCTTTGACCACATTGCCTACACCAGCACCAACTGTTCCATTTGTTTTCCTGCAGCCCTCAAAGGACAGTCAACTCAGACCTTCTTGTTTGTGACTAGACCTGCTACATTCTTCATGGTTCACCTAGACTCTGGAACTGTCAGGACACCCCCCTACCCCCGTCGTCACCTCTTCAGCTGGGCAGACTGAGGTCAACTCTGCAGCTTCTCTTCAAGGCCCCTACAGTGCTGGCTTGTACCCTATCTCTGCAGCTTGGTTTTCTATTGTTGCCCCTATGTGTCAGCAGACCCAGGGCCAGTTGCAACAGGTTTCCTGCCTTCTCTAACATGAACCCAGAGCTCTGTGTATCTTCTTCCTTCTCTGGATCAATGCCTCATTTTTGCCAGCCTTCAAGGCCACTTTCTCCAGGAAGTCTTTTCCCTGAGGGTACTGGCCTACTGTTGATCCAGAGTACTATAAGACAAATTGTGCCTTTCCACCTATGCTGTCTTGCTGAGGTTCTCTACTTATTATGACTTGGTCCTTAGAAAGATTGCATGGCGGTAAGTGGGAGAGTCTGGGACTGAATGCTTTGGTAGCCATCTAAGTCCTTCCAAAGGCCTAGGTCCTAAACTGTAAATTAACTGATGGCCTAACAGAGGGCTAAGTCCAGAGGTTGCTCCATCAATGGGTAGTCGCTATGCTTTGTTCTTCTGTTCCAAGCCTCGTCAAAGTGTCAAGTCACCACATTCCTGAAATCTCTGGAAAATTCCAGGTCAAGGACATCATATTCACCACCTCCTTTCTCTTTCTCTCCTGGGCTGGGGAAGGTTGAGGGCAGAGTTACTGTGCCATCTTGTGGCCTTTCCCAAGCTTTCCTTCCCTGTGGTGCCAATGACCCAATGAATATAGTCCACAGCTCATTAGCTCTGGAGGGATGGTCTGGTTCCTGCTTCTTCCCCTTGTCTTCCTTAGTCTCCCCACTTCCACGTCAGCACTGAATTAGATTTAGTTGCATGGGCTCTGAGTTTCTCTCCTGACCCTGGACAACACTCATCTGATGAATGGTGGGATGTATTTCCATTGTTTCTAGGCCCAGAGAAAATACTGCCTCTGCTTCTTCCTCATCTCCATCACCACCCCATACCACCCCAGCTTTCTCTGGTTTCCTGCTGCAGCTGTTTCTCGTACAAGGGAACTGTTTAAACTCAACTTCAGGCCTGGGAGTGGCATTTAGCCTGCTAGCCACACTCTTCCCCTTAACATTGACCTTTCTTCAGCTCAGAAGCTATTCAAGCTGGTATAGCCTGACTATCTTCCCTCTACTTAGCTGCCCAGCCATCCCTGAGTACCAGCTTGGAGAGGGGGCTTCCTTTCAAAGTTTGGCCCAGCCCCATCCTTTGCGCAGTTCTCCCAGTGCAATGACCTAAATGAAATCATTGGATTAGGTCTCCTGATCAGTGCAGAAGTACTACATATGTCTAATTTGTTCTATAAGGATGAGGGGCTGGCTCAGTTGACTTCCAGGATCTCTTCTAGTTTTCATATTGAACAGCTGATGCTTCAAGGGCCTAGGTGCCAGAGCTGATCTCACCTCCTGTTACTAGTGACTCTATTGAGATGGAACCCCACAATAATGCCCAGAAGGCAACAAAGGGGAAGAAGATATAAATCTGGGGATATGCCCTTCTAATCCCTTTTTAAAGAGGGACAAGTTGTCCAACCATAGGAGGGTGGGGGGAGAGGGCAGACAGTAGAAGATATTTGCTTCTTCAAGTGTGTTTCTACTGAGGACTACCTTGATCAAAGTCACATGCTGTCTGGGACAGCCCAGGGAGTGAGGAGGGAACAGAAAAGCTCAGTGATTTAGACCCAGCTGAGACCCATCTATATGGGAAACATCTGAGAACCCACACCAGAAGATGCTGGGCCAGTATCAAGGCTCAGTAACTCCCTTCACACAAGCTGCCTCTCTACTCCTGTCACTGGTATTGATCCCTACTATACATCTTACACCTCAGTACTGAAATCTCAGTGAACCTGACCTGTAATAGATGCCTGCAGCAGCATACTATCCTGAAATGACAGGTTGTTATAGAGTGAATGTTTGTGCCCCACTCAAACTCATCTGTGATTTGCTACTTACCCCCCGTGTGATGGTGTTTACACTGAGCAGTATCAATGGCTAGTTCCAGAAACAAAGAACCACAGTTATGCTTTTCTAATAATCCTCAGGCTTGGAGCAAAGGAAATGATGTCTCTTTATGGCACCAGAAAGACAGCAAGAAGTTTTAAGCACAACAGATACAATGAATTTGGCTTCTTTTTACTTACCAATGACTTTCCATATGCTCGATTCCCACACAGACTGGATGCTCTGGGTTCAGAAATCCCCACTGTGAAATTGAACAGAAGAGATATTACTCAGTTGTACTCTGAGTTCTGACTCCCTCTGATTCTGCATCAGTTATCTTGTTAGACATCCAATTACAGAAGGGAATTTCTAAAGGTCTTTGTACCAAGCAGCAGAGCCTGGCAGTGTGATCAGGGATACAGGTCACTTGTATCCCTGCCACTCTCCAGGGGGTTAGAGCTAAGGTCTATATATGATCAGTATGCCAATGTAGTTCAACTATGAAAAGCAAGTTGCTGTGTTGGGGATGATCTGAGTGAAGGAGGCTGTGCGTGTGTGGGCAGAAGGCAGATATGGGAAATCTGTGTGCTTTCAGTGTTGGTGACCCTTAAACTACTTCAGAGAATAGTCAGAGAACACACAGGTGGAAGCATGTAATGTTTGTACACAGTAGGTACTCAGGGAACGTGGCCTCAGTGTTTCCTCCTTTCCTAAGGAGGCCTTAGAACCTAAGAAGTGAGTTAAAAGGTTATCAAGAGTCAAGGAGATGGGCTTCACTGAGGCCTTTTCATGCACACTTTGTTCTTACTGGTGCTCTTCTCCCCTCCCCTTCTGAATCCTTTCTTCTCATGCTGGTTTCCTTCCTTTCTCCCCACATCTTCTGCTTTCATGTCACATGTATTTCATTACTGTCTTCATTTTCTCTCTGCCTTAAGATTTCTTCTCCCCCCTTATAGTCTCCCTTCTAATTCCATTACACACAGTCCTATATAAGCATTTAAATCTTAGGCCTGGGGAGATGGCACAGTGGGTAAAACCTGACACCTTGAGTTTGGGTCCTGGGAACTCACATTAAAAGCTTGTTGCAATAGCATATATGGCCCTACAGCAAGACGGAAGGCAAAGGCAGGAGACTGGTTCAGAAACTCAAGGCCCAGCTAGTCCAGAGTATTCAGTGCAGTAGCAGATAGAGGAGAGCATCTGCCTCAAAATAATGTTGAAGGTGAGAACTGACTCCCAAAAGTTGTCCTCTGGCCTTCACATGTGTGACATGGTGTGCACATACCTGCACTCAAACATATATGCAACACACACACACACACACACACACACACACACACAAATGTAGAATCTGTAAATGAGAGAAAAATGTGATATTTGCCTTCTGAGTGTAGTTACTTTGCTTAACATAATAATCTCCAGGTCCATTCATTTTTCCTGAAAATGAATTTTTCTTTACAGCGGAATTAAACTCTATCATGCATCTGTATCATATTTTCTTTACCCATTCATCTGTTGATGGACATGGAGGCTTGTTTGATTTATTATTCATTGTGCATAATGCAACAATACACCCAAATGTGCAAAGTATCTCTGTGGTATGTTGACTTAAGAGTCCTTTGGATATATGCCGAGGAATGGTGTAGCTGGGTCACATGGTAGTTCCATCTGCAGTTTTATAAGACACTCAGGTCTTTCCAGCCGGGAATAACTATGTAATTCCTGGACACATTTCTAGAAATGAGCTGAAAACCCTAATGTGGTAAGAACTATATAGCCCACCAACTGGAAGGACTGGGGTTTATTGGCTCAGAATCCTGAGACACTGGCTCTGTGACAGTATGTGTGTGGACGACCCTCTTTTTAATACCTGCATTCCTGACACCCTACCTACCTCTGATGCCTGCAGCTTCTAAGGATCCCAGTGTTGAGCTGAGGTAAGTGGCATTCAGCCCAGTCTCTCCTGGGGCAGATTGTCCAGCACCAGTCCTACCTCACTGCTTTATAGCATATAGAAATGCACCCACTCAGGAAAATATCTCAATGCTAATAAAAAGAAAAGTACAAGACTACTGTCCAGTAAAATTTTGTAGGGAGTTTTAGATTTGGACTAGGCATGCCCAAAGACCATGCCAACAGAGTTTAATCACAGAAACTGAGCTTAAATGGTTGCATATGCCCTGTAGCTAGCTGACTAGGTAGACTGTAAACAATTAACTAGTTAAGTAGGAACCAACTGACTGGTTGATTGACTAGGCTGTAGCCAAGTAAGTTGGCTTTTATGCTTTGCTTCTGCTTCCCTATAAATGCTGTCTGGTTGTGTTTTGGTTGGAGTGTGGTACCTGATCTGGGAACTCAATTTGTGAGACATTTTTAATATGTTTTACTCAAATAAACTCTATTAAACTTAGTTGATCTATGAAAATTTTCTTTTAACATACTACCAAGATCAAACCATGGCAAATGGTTAAGCAGTAACAGCAGCTCAAGTTTTTCAAGTCTGTGTGCCAGGCATTGCTCTGAGTGCAAACCATATAAAGACAGCGGGCCTCCTTATCTGTAGGCCCTACTTTCATAACTAAAAACTATTTTTAAAAATTACATTTGTGGGGCTGGAGATATAGCCCAGGGGCTTGCCTAGCATTTGAGAGATCCTGAATTTAATCCCAAACCTACAATCATCATCATCATCATCATCATCATCATCATCATCATCAGATTGCATTTGTATAGCCAGGTATGGTGATACATACATGAGATTCTAGCAATTAGGAAATGAAGGTATCAGGATCAATTCTTGATCCTGAACATGTACAGATTGAGTTTCCTTGTTGCTACTCACTAAACAATGCACTGTAACAACTATTTTCATAATATTTATATTATACCAGACAGTCTAATCTAGATTGGGGAGGCAGATGTGTGTATGTTGTAAGCATTGACTGTATCATTTTACATAAGGGATGAAGCATTGTGGAGTTTGGCATCTCAAAGATGAATCAATCCTACATGGTATGGAGACAGTTGTATCTCATTTAATTCTTACCATCACCCTGAGAGGGAGGTACCAGAATAGTTTTCACATTCTAGTAGAGGAAACGAAGGCTTTAGTGATACATAACCATTATTCTGAAGTCAAGGAAAGGTGATTTCAGGAAGTAGTACACAGACTTTTGCAGGCCTAGGTAAGCCTGATCGAGGGACACCCTAGCCCAGCTTAACTTGGGAGGAAGAAGAGAGCGAGCGAGCGAGCAAGAGAGAGAGCTGCAGAAAGAACAGTGTTCATGAAGGCTCAACGAAGTAGAATATAAGGAACTATGGTAAAATTAGCCTTCAGCTCAGGGTTGTTCTACCTTACAGAATGACAAGGACAGAAGTGTCACAGGAGGTGGCCCTGGGAGGTCAACATGGCCTAGAGGGCAGGTGAGAGGGAAGAGACAGTATTTAAAGCAAAGAGATGACAGGGGAAGCTTGCTTCCTGTCTTAGAAGGACAGAACTAGCAGCTTTGCAGAAGGAGAGGGACTGGAGGCTGAGAACTTTCATGAGCAGCATTGTTTACATATTTGAGACAAAGGGTCTGAACCTGGAGTAGGGGTAGGTACAAAGAGAGCAAAACAGGAGCTATCTAGGAGACAACACTGTCAATGTTAGTGTATAAAGCGGGTGGGGTGTATATGAAGGTATTAGGGAAGATACCAGAGACTTTCTGGAATTATGGGCAGTGGTCTTGCCTGAGAAAGAATCTTTCAATTTTTTAGAAAAGTTGGTTCCAAAGTACCCTGGGTCATCTCAGGGAAGAAGTCCCACAGGCAGCCCAGTAGGTGGGGACTGTCCCCTTTCCAGGCACCTAAGAGTTCGTGGTGAGAACTGCCTAGCTGTTTGTCTGCCTTCAGCATAGCTGTGCGTTCCAAGTTTCCTTAGAGCATCTCTCTCCCACCTGAGAAGGCTGCAGCATCCAGCAATCTTACCCTAAAGTTCAGAGAAAAAGTAAATCCAAGATCTGCGGTCCCAGAAGACATACAGCTTATTGACAGGGGGAAGTAAGAATCAGTACTTGAGGGCTGATGCCTAGCCTTTCCTGGGAGAGCACCAGATTTTGGCTTTGGCTCAGCAATGCTTCTTCCTACCTACCCATCCTAGAATCCATCAGATTGGAGGCGCTGAGGGAATTGAATCAATGCCCAGATTAATCTATTTTTTCCCCAAAACCTGACTAGCACATCCCTACATGAGCCAATTGTCATGTGTTGGACAGATTCTCTCCATTTCATAACTTACTGCTCTTGTCTTTTAGAATAAATGACTGACTTGGGCAATACAAGCTGCTACAAACAACTTGGAAAGCTGTGAAGGTAGCTAAGCATGGTGGTTGTACTCCTATTAATCATGGTATTCAGGAGACTGAGGCAAGAAGATCATGAGTTTGAGGCCAGCCTGGGCTACATTGTGAGACCCTGTCTTTTAAAGTATGAAATGGACCCCTAAAATGAGACAGTTGGGGGAAGAGACACCGACTAGAAAATCAGGAGACTGGAGAGTGTACCTTGGCTTTGTGGCTGCTGAGGTATGCTGTCTTGCCTGGGTCAAGCAATTTCTATAGCTTCCATTTCCTATTCTGTAAGTTGGCAGAGGGGTGACTGAAGTAGGTCAGAAATTCTCTGCTCCAGTGAGGGTTGTTAGCAGAGGGAATGTTGTCTTTTTAAAACACAAATTAATATATCCTAATCTTAGAGTTTCTAGTCCAATAAAATGTACACTCCCAACACATTTCCAGATGCTGCTCCAGGGACCCCACTTTGAGTATCACTACATTAGCTCCTCACCACACCCTTGCTACTCAATCCGTTGACCCTGTAGCATCAAGGTCAGCATCATCTGGGAGCATTTAGACACACAATCTTGGGGCCTATCTAGTCCTTCTGAATCAGAATCTGCATCGAAACAAGATACTCAGGTGCTTCTTGTGTACACTATAATTGAGAAGTATGGCTCTAAATTCACTTTCTGATTTTGTAGCAAAGATAAATATTCTGCCTATTCTCTTACACACACACACACACACACACACACACACACACACACACACCCCTATACACAGACACAGAGAAAAAGCTATTGTCTCTTAATTTGCAAGGCAAACTGTGGTTTTCCTAATGCTTTCATTTTAAGTACACATATGCAATCACTTAATTAGAGGATGTAGCTTGGTTTATGTGTTCTTGCTCTGTGTGGATTGTAAGTGCAGGGTGAGACCAAAGAAACCTAGTATGACACCTAAGAAAGGGGAAATTAAGACAATCACAACAAAACTAGGATAAAAACAACAAAGGAGGGGAATGGAATGGGAAAAGATGAGTAAAAGCACATACTCAATGGAAATGGAAGCTATAGAAACATGCAAGATGGCACACCTTGGCAGCCATGAAGCCAAGGTATAATCTCATCTCCTGATTTTCTAGTCAGTGTCTCTTCCTCCAACTGTCTAGTTTTAGGAGTCAGTTTCATACTTTTTAAAAGACAGGGTCTCACAATGTAAAATACAGCCTTGTTAATTCCTGGAAACCTTAAAGACATCTTGGATTTTCTTTCTTTTCTGTGTGTGTTTGCATGAGTGTGTGTTTGTATTAGTGTATGTGGATACATGTGTGTATGTGCATATGGAGACCAGAGGTTAACCTCGGGTATCATTCCTCAGGTGCCATTCACCTTGTTTTTGAGTCAAAGTCTCTCTGGGATCTAAGGCTTTCCTTTCTGGCTAGGCTAGGATGGCTGGCCAGCAAGTTCCTGGCATCATCCTGTCTCTGCCTCCTAAGCTGATTCCAAACACATCAGCATGCCTAGCTTTTTTATGTGGATTCTGGAGATGGAACTCAGGCCCTCAGGATTGTGTGGCAGGCACTTTAACTCAGCTGAGCTAGATTCTGATTTGTTTTACTAAGGCACTGTAGTCCAAGCTAACCTTGAGCACAAGGCAATCCTCCTGCCTCAGCCTCTCAAGTGCTAGGATTATAAGTCATCCCACCCTGCTCTACATTAGACTTTCTACTGTGTATTTTTGGAGTTGAAATATGAGTAACTTCAGGTTGTTGGCGCAAGAACAAAGCCCTAAACTATCAATTAAAAGGAAATACCATCAGAAACTTCAATGGGCTAGAAGCAGAATCCTATTTCACTGCTTAGGGTGGAAGTCATTTAGAAAAATAGTATTCCAGGTAACATTACTGTTTCCAGCTTTCAAACAGATTTTCCTCTAAATTCTTTTTATAGATTAAATCATTCAAATTGACGATGATAAAATTTGATTGTGGTTGTGACACTGGGAATGAAACCAGGGTGTTTCACTGAGCTCCCGGAGCTCTAAAATGGTAAGATAGTTTA